GGTGTATTTTATATACAATTTACTCTGAAATTATCAGACGTAATTTCAGATTCTGTTTGTCCCTTACAGCTACAAGATGTTCTTAATATTTGTATGCTTTGGAGTTGCAGTGGTGGATTAATGAATTATCTTTCCTCAGTGACAAAGTGGACTTGCCACCTAGCAAAACAATGGCCTGCAGGAATTACAAGAGAAAACTTTACCGAAAGTCCACATTTGTTAGTACGAGATTACCAAATCCTGGAACTTTGCACTGAAAGGTGCATTTCTTAGTGATGGATCAATGATGAAGTGAAAGCAATTCTTTCTTTTCATGTTTTGCTTTCTGTGGGTATGTGTGACTGTGTACTGCTGTTTTGTACTACGTTGGCTTTAGGGTATTGCCGACTTAAATAAAACCTTTTCTTTTAATAATCTTCTGCACATGGGGCTGGAGATTTAGCTCAGCGGCAAAGTGCCTGCCTGGCAAGCGCAAGGTCATGAGTTCGGTTCCCGGTACCGGAGAAAAACCAAAAAAAAAAAAAAAAAACAAAAAAACAATAATCTTCTGCACAGCTGAATAGGGTCAAACAGAAATTTAAATAAGGGGGAAAACCCCAGAAGTTATAAGAAATGAATATAGCTGACATATAACTGAAGAATTTCATTCATAAGAAAATTAATTTTTTCTATGGCTGGCTGGTCTATTCCTCATATCCACAAAACCCAGAAGAAAAATGATACTGCTTCAGTTCCGAATCAAGAGCTCCCTGTCTGTGCTCAACTATAGCAGAAAACGTCCCCCCACCCTATCCAGTATATTTCAGAAGCCCAGATAATAGTTCTTGTTGCATTTCCAGTTGCTTCTGTGTCCTAGAAAGTGCTGATCGCTATGATGCATAGCTGATCACCATGACGCGTGCTGTAAGAACCAATCAAGACAGCCAAATGTTCTGCCTTATGCTTCCCCTTGCAAACCATATAAAAACCTCCCTCCCTGAGCCTCTAGGGCCTGACATTTTGAGGAACAATTGATTCCTAGGCACTGCCTGTCCAGTGTTAAATAAATCTGTCTTCAAATCCTGGGTGTCACTTCAGTGTTTCTGTTTGCCATAGCGCAATTATCTCCCAGGTTTTCCAATCTCTTCCTATTCAAGATGAATAAAGTTCATTTTTCTTTCGGTTTTCTGAAATCCTTCCTTTGGGTTCTATTTCTAAGTTGAACAAATATTTGTTGGCAAGCTGACTAACATTATTAAAGCCACTTCTATCACAGCTGGTGCTGGTTCCAGGACAAAAAGATTGCCTTTCCCTGGCTGGCTTAGGAGGAGGAGTTTCCATTAGACAATCCTGCAGGTCCTTAGTACAGCGAGTGAGGACGCTGGCAAAGCTTGACAGCTGGAGAGATGAAGTCTCAGTTTCTAGTGCAGGTACTAGAATCTGAAATCAGTGCGGCACCACAGAATCGGAAATTTGGACACAAAATCAAGTCAACAGACCACATAAAGCACAGAGTTGTGGCTTCCTCAATGGACCTAAGAGTATATGGAAGTTCCATGATTTGACTGCATGGCTTTGAGATAAAGGGGTACAGCCAGCAGTGATATCTCCTCCATGGTGAAAATTTTCTGTTTATCCACTTTCTTTGGTCTCATTTCATGCTAAATAATTACTATTATTGGCTGGGATGTGGTGACTGCACACCTATAATCCCAGCATTCCGGGAGGTTCTGACAGGAGGATCAGAATTCAAGACCAGCCTGGGCAAATGAGTGACTTATTGAGACACTGGGTAAAAATAAAAAATAAAAAGGATTAGGGTCAGTGAGAGGGCCGTGCGTTCAACTCCTAGTACCAGAAAATGGTATCCATATAATAGAGGAGTATTCACATTTATAGATAATATATATTATGATAGTACTTGATAAATGGTTATTTTTCACCTGATGCATGACCATTCTTTTTGCTGGTAGGTAGCATTAAGTTAAAATTACTAGAGTGCATTATATTGACTTGGAAATTTGATATTCTCTCCAGCAACTTCTTTTAACATAGAGGACATGGAGAATTTAAATTATTTTATTTTCTCAGAGATTTATGTAAGATTACCAATACACCTGAGAAATATAATAGACTAGATCTCAAAGGAATTTTTGTATAGTAATGAGGGCAGTAGATGTTCAGATAGCTGTGTAAGTAGAGCTCTTAGAGTTCTTCTATATATAGTATAAGTAATGTTGGATGTTTTCACATTCCTGGTCAGATTTTGGTGCAGAGTAAGGGGTAGTGTTGAATGAACAGAGCTGCTCACAAAGGAATCTGCAACTTTTCTTTGCTGAGAAGCAACCTTAGCAGGCCAAGAAATTTTCTTTGGCTCTGCCTCTGGACAATATGCAAATTATGTGTAAGGATTACTATCTTATTGAAAAGGCAAGGCTCAATACCCTGTTTGGTTAATAGCAAGGAGCTAAGTCCTAATTTCTTGTGGTTGACAAAAGATATGGTGCAACTTTGACAAGACTTTAGGTTTTTCTGCAACATTTCAGCCATGTTCTAGAGTATTCTTAGCAACTTTTCAGTAACTTCTTGACTTTGCGGAGGGCTTGTAGTGTATTGTGTGGCGAAAGATGTCCAGCCTTGGGTTGTTAATGAAGAAAAACCCTTAAACTCAATAATCCTTTGTTGATGTGGAAGAAAGTGAAGATGGCTCCTAATCCTTCAAGAATTCCAACTATACAAAGGCTCTTTCTAAAATGAAGGAATTTCTTTTCTCTAAAATTAATTGATACAGATAATACTGAACTGGTTCAATACTGAAATAAAGTTTTAAATCTATACCTCGAGTTTTTAACAGTGTATTTCTTGGGAATTGCATTCCTAGTAAAGACTTATATTCATTCATTACAAAGTTTGCTACCAAAGGGAGTTAAAAAACTCCTTATAATTTTACTAGGCATTCAATCTCAGGCTGTTTCCTCTGCTATGAGTAACTGACAACTTGTGATGTATGGATTTGGCATAATTGAATTTCTTGGCTGTCATACTCTTTGCGTAAGAAGCATTACACACATTTTAAGAGAAAATGACTTAAAAGAAGAAGAGTGAAGTGATGCCAAGTTCTGAAATTTTATTTGAAAACAGTGTTCTAACCAAATGTCACTTAAAATGTTCCCTTTAAGCTTCTGAATCATGTTTTCTAGATAATTTTTGAAAATACAGTTTGGAACATAAGGTTTTAAAGCATGCCATTTTTTAGTTAAGTCGAAGAAATAAAGTAGAAGGTTGGTGTATTATTAGTTTCACCTTCTCAAGCTAAGAAACGCAGTATTACAGATTAACACAAGGCAATAGCTAAAGTTCTCCAAAAATAGAAGTTGTACAACATTTCGTTTACCTTTCAAATCGAGTGTTTAGTGATTCAGGGGAATATTTCTCTGAGCAGACTTTTTTAATCTAGAAATCTCTGAAGCAACTTCTCAACTTTACAATTTTGTTAATTTTCACTGGATTTTCTCAGCTCATTGATTTAACTGGTTCATTCACCTTCAAATTCCAGAGACTGTTCACCAACTCTTTTCACAATTATTTGGGTGATGTCAGACCCTTTATAGAAGAACTTGTAACAAGGACTAAGGGAGAGTCCACAACTCTTGCTTATGTGCTTTTCACAAGCACTGTTCCAATAGTGCTAATGGAACTAGGACTACCTTCCAAATTTGATTGTTCAGCACTTGGAATATGACATATTTGATGGAGAAACTGAATACAGTATTTAATTTTCTTTTAGTTAATCTATATTTACATTTAAATAATTGCAGGTAACAATCTACCACATTAGAGAATGTAGGGAGAACTTATGGGTTGGTCAGTTTCCCATTATAGTAACAAAACACCGGACACAACAAGCATATAAAGAAGAAAGGCATACTGTGGCTCACGGCTTCAGTCCACGGTCCCCTGGCTCCATTGCTTTAGACCTGTGGTAAGGCAAAACATCATGGTAGGGACTGTATGGTGGAGGAGGCTGCTCACTGACCCAACAACAACCAGAAAGCAGAGAGAAAGAGACGGAGGAACGGCCTGGTGTTCCTGTATCTCCTTCATGTCATAGCTTCAGTGACCAAGCTTTTCCTCTCCAGTCTTGCCTGATAAAGTTTCAGTCTTTCAGTTGCACAGCAGGTAAGGGCCACACCTTCCACAGAAAATCCTTAGTGGGAAACTGAGGATCCACACCATAACACCTTTAAAATGTGTTAATGATCTTGAGCAGTTTCTGTCTATACTTGTGGATAGTGTGAAAATTGGCCGCTTTGGATCACGTTCGAGAGTTTTTTCCAGTGGTTTTAATTGGTTAATATTTCCCTACTAAAGAAGGTGATGAAAATATATTAGGCATTTATGGTTGTTAGAATGACTGGAATGTCCTAGCACTTAGTGAGTGGGGACCAGAAATGCTAAATGGCCTGAGATGTATAGAACAATCTTCGTGATGAATCATTGTCCATCCCAAATGCCAAGTGACCAATTTGACAAGTTTAAGCAGTCATCAGAATTGTCTAATTTGTGTCCTTTTATTTGTGAGATTTGTGACCTCAGTCTTGCCCATAGTTAATTCTGTGTCCTTTGATCTCTGCTGTATTTCTTGCTCTCTTCTGAGGAACTTCACTTTCCTATTATGAAAATTTTGTTCTGTATCTCTAGCTACTCCTGTTCTGCATGTGAACACATTCTGGTCTTTCCTATCTCAAATAATATCCTTTCTAGGTTGGGGATATAGCACAGTGGCAAAAGTGTCTGCCTGGCAACCGCAAGGTCCTGAGTTCGATTCCTCGTACCAAAAAAAAAAAAAGACCACATCAAATAATATCCTTTCTGCATTCCATAACTTCTATCCATGACTGTCTCTTTTTTTTTCATTTACAGATCTTTCCCCTGCCAATCTCAGTATAGCACATCTACTTATCTAGCTATTGGAAGACAATATTCTTGTATTGTAAGTAAAAGAAAGCTGATACCATATGTAGTTTCAAAGCACACCATTTTATTACATAGATATATCAGTAGAATCATCATACCACATTCCACTTTAAAACCATCCTGTGGGTGCATATCTGCACACGTACATATCTCAAAATTTCTAATGAGAGCCCACTTTTACTTTTATGCTTATAATAACTCCACTTCTTTTCAACTAGTCTCTAAAGCATACCTTAAGAACCAATTGCACATATTTCTTTCCTAATTTAGCACATTATTTTTTCCAGAGGGCTTATTCGTACTAAAACTATAATATAGTCATTTACAAACTCCTACTTCATAGTCAGTGTGTTGTCAAAATAAAATTTTCATTAACTAAACACTATCTTCTGAACTTTATCCACTTATCTCAAGAATCACTGCACCTCCCAAGTAAATCACTCCAAATTGAGCCCTGAAAACACCAGGTTGAAATAATTACATTTAAATATATATCTACACTTGCTTAAAATTACACTGTTGACTATTTGGATAATTGCAATGACTGCATCTCTTTTAAGTCTATGTCAGAGCAATGATATGCTTACTTTTGTCTTTTCATGTATGATTTTAGAAATTAGTTCAAAAGACATCAGAATAACCTACTAATATATTATCATTTTGTATTGTACAAACATGTCTACAACGAAATGCCACTGAAAATTAAAGTTGGTGTTTTATTCTTTCAGTAAAAAATGACATTCTTGCACAAAGTCAGTAGAATCATACACAGAAACTATCTGCATTTTATAGTTTATTTTCAGTGGAAAGTATCATGCCTGCTTGCTGGGCCAAATGAGCAACAATCATGGTATTCTCTATTTCAATTTGTAATCATGGGCATTTATAGTCTACTGTATAATGAAGTGATCCAAATGAGTTGGGAGACTTCGAAAGTTACACCACACAAGCGCAGTCCAGTTATTTCTGTGGAATAGATAATCAGAATTTAAAAGTTAATTCAAATAGGTTGAATGATATCCATGTTGTAAAACAAAACGGGCTTCAGACTGTCATTAATCCCAATTGTTTTTTTTTAGAGCAATTAAAACCCAAGTATTGTTTATAAATTATAGTATGTTCTCAAACTGAATATTAAGGATTTTAATTCACCTATAGTTCAGTAAGTAACTAATAAAAATGACTTGAAAATTAATTATCTTTGGGGAATAATAAAATGTATGTATAATGCATTACATGTTTAAAAATATTAGATATTTTTTCTGTTGTCAGATATTGTATTTTCAAAGACCATGATATTTCCTTGCCTACTTGTATGTTTGGTAGGTGTTTTAACATTCCATTATGGAAAAGGATTAAATCTAGCTATATGCATGTCAACTTAACTTTTTATTTTCTTTTTCCTTTTTCAAATTCTTTGGTTATATGCTTTCCTGAACATGATCTGTCAGTATTATTTCATATAAATTGCAAAAGAAAAGAAAAATAAAACCTCAAAAAGTATAGTAAAGCTAATTATAACTTCATCTGGGGGTTATATCATCTGTCATGTATAACTTAACTGGTCTGAAAAGTGTTTGAAATATATATATCATGAGTAATTGTGAGCCATAATGTCTTTGTTTGCAAATATGAAAATATACGCATTGAAGTTATATTTATGTTAATCTTAACAATAGTTATTACATAAATACTATAATCATAGTAAAATAAGTGCTTAACTCAGTAATCTATATTTATACTACAAGATTCAGATCACTTAGCTCCATAAATATCAGCAACAATAATAGTTACATATAATAGAAATAATAATAATAAGAAAAATTGACTAATTTGTTAGAAATGAAATGTAATTTTGAGGCTTAGAAAGCCTTAAGCAATTGCCTTCTCATCTCTGCTAGTATCTCCCAGAGCATCACAGTTTCTTTTGTTCCACACCTTTATATCCATTCATGTAACTATTCATATATGCTGTATATATTTTCTATATTCACAGTATAGATACATACATACTTTATTCTCAGGCTTATTCATGAACATGCAGGTCAGTCTTCACAGTATAATCAAAATGTGGAGTTTTCTTATATGATATTTGCTTACAACTTTTCACTCTTGTTCAAAAAATGCAAAAATATCATACAGATTAATACTCTCTAAAAAAGTCTCTGCTTTATGCTTTACATTTTTGTAATTTACAAATAAATTATGAAATATAGTTCCATCACAAATTGAAAATAATTACAATGTTTTTATAACAAGGCATTGCTGAGGTTTTAAATTGTGGCATTCTGGAAGTCATTCGTCTTTCAAAACAAAGACATCAATATGTTGTTGTTATTCTCTGATATTTGTACTTTTCATTTACTCATATGAAATATGTAATTACAAATCTAATACTCATGCTAGTCTAATAGTGTTTTTATAGAATATGAATCTTATTTTTGCTCTATTACATCATTTTCCTGGAAAGTCTTCTTTGGAACAATCTGGAAAGTCTGTTGAAATTACTAAGCTAGAACATTTGTGGAAAGTTTTTTACTCCGTAAAAAAGACTGGAGAATAATTGAGACAAAATTAAGGAAGAATAATTTTAGTGGCTGCTCAGGAGTGATAAAGCAAATTGCAAGCTCTATTTTAGTTTTATCTCCTATCCTTTAATATTTCCTTGCTTTGTGAACCTACTAAAACTGCTCAATTTTTAAGAAATTGATTATAGTCTTCCATTAAATATCAGTTGTGGTCCTCCATTGCTCATGTTGTCTGTCATTTCCTGTTAGGAAAATAACATGAATTAATTAAAATTCATTTTCAGGGTAAGACATTATTGTGGTTAATAGATTTGCAGTGCAGAAATTTCAAGCCATTGAAAAACATTTCGTGGGGAAGGACAAGGATTGATATTGTTGCTGCATTTTAGGAAATAAAATTTCATGGCATCTTGGAGCACATGAAAATGTTAAAGTGACAGCCTGTGAGACCAAAGTCTTCTACCCCTAAAATCAGTTCACTGTCTCTCCATTTCTCTGAGTTTCCCCTTTCTTTCCTCCAATCTACTTGGAAAGGACCTCAGCTGGAAAAATAGAAGATGATCAAGTGCCCAAGTTTTCCCAATGCACAGGCTCCTCTGTTGACCATCACGCAAAGTGCCAACACATTTTGGGGTTTACCTTCCGTCTACAGAAAGTGTGTGGTCTATTGGTGATGCACTGAAGAAGGACCTCAGGGGGCGCAATCATTGCTCATCTGTGTATGTGGGTCACTAACCAATCCCAGTAGCAAGGGTCAGTTTTAGTGACATGGTCACTTATACAGTAAAAAACACAGCAGTGAAATCTCTAAATGTGTTTATAAGGACTGGTTGCTAAGACATTAACAAGAAGTAAGTAAGAAGGCAAATAAAATATAAAGGATGAATTTACATTAAAAGTTCCATTTCTAATTGCTATATAAGTATATATATATATATATACATGTATACATATATATATATATCTCAGTTTAAGAAATTTTAGATGTTTTGAATTCATATATTTTACTACACAATAAAAGATGATGAGGTGTGAGGCCTATTCCCATGTATTACGGTTAGTGAACAATATTATAAATAACGTTGGCAATATTGTCTGAGAATAGGTTGACAATGTCTTTCCACAACTGAACAAGCATATTTGCAAAAAAGCAGTAAAAACATTAAGTGTAAACTTTTTTTCTCAGTTGTCTCTTTCATATCCTTTTCTATCCAGTGTCTGTTCGAAGAACTGCAAGATATGTTTGGAGAATCTGCTGGAGAGGTATATAGTGACTACAGGTAAGAAAATAGACTGGGGCCACTGGACTGCTATTAAGTTTATTATAATTAAGAAACTATTTGAGGTTTCATTTAAGAAATCACTATAGGTGGCAAGAGAACCAGGAATCATTCCTTCAAACTGACCATCCACAAATTTACCCACAAGTCTTTTCTTATTCATGCTACTAAAAGAAAAGGGAAACCTTTTACTGGCTTTCTAGAAATACAAGTCTTATTTTTATGTCCCGGTCCTAAAAAGACTTTGCATTTTTAAAAGTTGCTTTAAGAACTATAAAACTAAACCACCAATCTTTTGTTCTATGATTTAAAGAAAGTTTTTTTTTTTTTTTTTTTACTTGTACAAAGTGAAAGAATTCTTTTAACTAAATTCACCCCAACAGGGACACAATAAAATTACTGATAGGAAATAACAATGAAAATAAGTTTTAAAATGGATGAATCTTGTCAATTTATTTGCAAATAGGCATGTCCAATTTAATCAGAAGATTGTGCTCTTAAGTTTGGGTAGGACAAAATGTGGATATTTGCAAGTCAACATACTTTCTGCAAGTTGAGTGTAGTATATATATGACTCTGTATTTCTACTTAACTAAACTGAGAACTTTAACTATTTTTGGCAACTGGATGGGACATGTATCATAATGGATGACTTTAACAGAAATAACACTCCATATAGAAGTTTTACTGTATTAGTGTCAATCTTTTGCTATTTTGGGATGATGGAGATACACAGTTTGTCTTTGTCCAGACTTATTTATTATTAAAAGCAAAACTCTGGTCTGTGAATGATATTGAGTCATAATCATGATACAGCAGAGAATAAAAGAAATTATGAGTCATCCAAACAGAAATGTGTTTGGATGCTTTATAAGCAGGCTGAATATTTTAAATACTCGGCCAACTGTGAAGCTGCAAGACGCTGCCATGGAGGTTTATGTCCATTCCTCGAAGTAGCCCTTTTGAAAGCGACGCTTTGAGGAACAGCATTGTAGCATCAGTCCAGACTGATCTGCTGACATCATGGCTTCCTACAAGAGGCAGTGTTTCCTGCAGTGATATCACAACATGGTAACTCCCTAGAAATCAGCGTACCTTGTAGGTAACTCTGGTGTCGGGGGCACCACCGGGCAGCTGGGCAAGTCGGTTATTTCAATAGCCCTCAATCTCTAATGTAAATATAACAATTATACAATAAATATTGCACAGATATATACATAGAAAACTAAGTCACACTAGTATAAAAATAGAGCACAGAAAGATCTCCTGTCTAACAGGAGAATGATCATCTACTTTCAATGATTTATTTATTTAAGTTGTCAGACCTGCTGTTTCCTACAAATTCTTTCCTGAATTACATGCATACAACTCTTTAAAATTCTTTCTTGGGAAAAAATTAAGAGCATTTACTGCCTTTATATATAGATTATGAACTGACTACCTATACACAAAGTACAAAATGAATATTTTTACCTTCAAAATAACATTACAAGGAAATATGCATTCTTTTCACTATTTTTTTTTATTCTATGGCTGTACAGTTTTATTTCGATAATATAAAGAGAAGTGTAATTTGGCCATAATGGTCGTGTTTGTTTCACAGATGCTTACTTTCCTTTAAGAGGTACAGTAACAGGAAATGAATTAAGAAACATGTGCAAGATGTAGCAGAAGCACAGATATCTCTCTGTACCATGTGTCTTTTAATGCAATTAATGCAACTTTCTGCTTGAATAGGTTTCAAGAAACAATTATGAAAAGATCATTGTTTAAAATACAGTCAAAACTATCCAATAAGCCTGAAGTTTAGATGAGAATTAAACGAAGCTTTATATAGACTATAATATCTGCACCGATGGACAAGGCTTTTTGTCACCTTATTAAAGAGTTTCTTTATACTTGAGTATCTAATTTACATAATTAGATGCATCTACTTACAAGCACAGGGATTGAGCTAGAAAAGAGAATTCATGTGATTTCTAAATCTGGCATTATTGAGTAGAGACTGGATTTAATTTATGTGTTTTTCCTCAGTATAATACATAAAATCCATATTTATAAGGTATTCAATATTTTATTAAATTCTACTTTAGGAACTGTGTCTTAAAAAGACAGAGAAGCTATGCTGGGAATAAGTACCCAAGAATCGCAAAGAAAACACCATTTTGAACATTTTTTGCTCTTAAAATAGGGTATAACATATAAACTCCAAACCTTCCAAATTGCCATCTAAGGCTGCCAATGGGTTCACCTAGGGCAGACTGCCGACGCATCACATGGCGGCAGCGGGAGGCAGAGGCACAAAACTCACTTTCTCGGCCATTTCATGAGAGTGATGCAGAGAATGCTCCCTTTCGGAGAACATCCTCCTCTGTTCATAGCTGGCCAGTCGACACGTGAGCCAGGAGGACAGCGTGCATCCTCCAATCCCAATGCACGCCAGGGACATGGAGGCCAGATGCAGAGGATACAAGGAAGAGGTCTTCTTCGTGACTGCCCGAAGGAACTGAAAATTGAGGATGCCTCCAATGAGTCCACAGATGCAACAGGCTGAAAAGAGGATCATCTGGTAAGGAGAAAGAGGAGGTGTCAAAGATGAGGAGGCAAAGATGCACAGAACGCACTGCTAAGTGCTGCCGCAGCCGGGGTGGCTAACCTACCATACAGAGAAGGTGCTTCTCGGGTTTCCTGGAGGCAGGAGTTCACCTTCCAGCTGACATTCTACTCAGTCTGATTCACTGCCCAGGGAGTAGAATATGGTGTCTTAGAAATGGAAGCCTAGGCTACATTTTATGAAAATTCTGAAATAAAATTTTCTCCTACCAGATTCAGATTTAAACAATATTTATTGAACATGTACTGTGTCATCCTATGCTAGGAACTGTAACAGATTTCATCCTCCCAGCAACCCTCTGAGAGAGATACTAAAACACAGTTTGGGAAAATTAGTGGTCATCGATGAATGGTGAGACTCAAATTGAGGGACTGAATTCAGATTTTCCATATAAAATCCTATTTCAGTATGTCAGTCCTCTCAAAGTAGCTAAATGTCTTACTTTCATTGAATTATCATCAGTTTCCCTTAACTTCAAATATTTGTGTCTTTCTACCTATTTAATTGCTTTATTTTGTCTTTTTGAGACAGGGTTGCACTATGCAGTTCAGGCTAGTCTTAGACTCTCTTTGCAGCCCAGGATGGCCTTGAACTCACAGCAATCCTCCTGCCTCAGCCTCCCAAATGCTGGGATTACAGGTGTGTGCCACCACACTCAGGTCTTTCTACCTTTTTGAATTTAGAGAATTTAGCTAAATTCTTTGTCTTTATTTACTGTAATGTGTGTACATCTATTTCCAGTGTCTTAGTAATCTTTTGATACTCCTTGTCATAACAATAAAATGTGCACAATAAGTGTTGCAAATATGCTGCTTGTTTATTTTGCATAAGCACGGAGTGTAGCTTTGCTTTTGATTTTACTGGTGGTTTGATCGAAGTTCCTATTCATGAAAGTAGGGAATATTAGTCAGTTGAAATAGGATCCTGAGCAGAACCAAGCGCAATGCCCATTGTCATTGTTCTGTTTTAAAGAAACCTAATGGACTATTTCAAGAACTTATGAACATTTTACTTTTTGCCTGAAGGAACTGAATTATTTCCATTCTTTAAAACACAGTACCCACAGTGCTTCAGTTCATCCAAGGGCCTCATGCATATCAGGCATGTCTACCACAGAGATACACCCCTAGGCCAACACTTCTTGTCTACTAATACAGTTTGCTCATTCTCACTATGAGAATATTATTAATTTCCAGGAAACAGTTTTGCTTTTTCCTTAGATTTCTAGATGGAAGGCATAAATCAAGTCCTAACTTTTTAAAGAAGACTTCTTGAGCTTTACTGATCTCCTCCTTTGCTATAATTCTGTACGGCAAAAGATTTATCATTCATATTAGCATTTACTTTTACATTGTCAGGGATTATTTGCTTTCAACAATTAGTTGAGCCTAGCAAGCACTTATTGGACCACTAGTACCTACTGGGCCCAGTGTGAGACAGCCACTGGCACTATGCATAATAGCTTGCTGTGACTTGAATCTCTGAAAGACAAGCTCCAACCTGTCAACAGAGTGTGGTAAATATGAAGACAGAGTGATGAATGGTTATCCTAGGAGTAGGGAAGAGAAAATGTAGCCTTATCAAGGTTGGTAAAGTGTCCTTGAGAGTGTGACATCTCAATTAAGTACCTGCAGTTCCCAGAGAAGATCCAGGCACAGGTGTAAGAAATAGCACAATAAAAAGCTTGATGGGCCAAAAGAACTGCAATGCTATAGTTTGTTTCAATTTTACAATTTCATTGGGCATTCCTTTTTCCATATTTCTTATATTACACATCATCATGGATGAAAACCCATTGATGTATGACTATGATATTTTTATTTTTGATTAAATACAGTGCCTAAAATTGATTACTACATAATGAAATCATCCTATCAAGTAGCAACTAAGAGTTCACAATGTTAAGTTGTACTAATCAGTTGTATTTCATTTTAAAGAGTGTTCAAATAAAATGCAGTTTCTTCAGAATATATTTTGGTGTTTAACCATTCTCAGAAAATAAAAAACTATTACACATTTGCCTTCCAATAATGAACTGCTAAGCACTTGAAGGCATTGTGTGCAGGCACAAGTTCCCTATAATGATTGTGGTCATTGTGTGTATCAAAGGTGTACTGGTGGAATTAATTAAAAAAAGAACTATGAGAAATAAATTCCTGTTGTTTGAACCAAAAAACTTAAACTTCCTGTTGTTTAAACCAAAAAGCTTAATTTGTGATCACGGGAAAGCCTGTATCTCTCCCAGTGTTATTCTCCTTAATTCCTTAAACATGATTCTTCATTAACATGTAGTGACAGGATATTGCACATGTGAACTAAAGTGCTAAAATGTGCATCAAAGTTCATAACTACACACTATTTTCAAACCACACAGAGCAAGAGATTTGAGACTCAGAGATACTCAGAATAAAGACATATTTACAAAATATGTAATAAAGACATATTTACAAAATATGTAATAAAGACATATTTACAAAATTTTGTCAGAGGGTAGAGAGTCCTTGGGGCTAAATATCACCTGTGAGAACTTCAGAGTAGAGGCGAATAAGGTACTTTCTAAAGAGTGGTAGATACATCTACAGCCAGACTGATAGTTTGTAAAGGTTCAGCTGTTTCAAAAGGTTCAATTTCTAAAGGTTCAGTTTTATAGTTTATAAAAGAATTATAAAGACATAAAAGAGACATTAGTGCCTTTTAAAAATTCCCTTCCTTCCTTCCTTCCTTCCTTCTTTCCTTTCTTCCTTCCTTCCTTCCTTCCTTCTTTCCTTCCTTCCTTTTTCCCTTCTTCCTTCTTCCTACATAAACATAAAGACCCTTGGTAAGGAAAGGTGTCAAAACGGGAAGGTCATGTATAAAGAGTTCTGGGAGAACCACAAATACCATTACAGATACCGAAAAACACATTTGTTACCAAAAGTTTCCCTTTTCCCTTTGTATTTTTAAATTTTCTATCTTACCTGCCTATGGTAGTGAGTGGTTTATTTTTGTGTCACGATAGGTAATACTGTGACAGAATAAGGCATTATTAGCAAAAGGGCAAAATGAAAATAGCTGCAAACCCTTCCCATTCCCTCCCACACTTCATTTTCTGGCTTCTCCTTTGAAAACTGTAGGTTCAAAGGCCTTCCTGGGGTCCTCATATAATATTGATTTTGCCAATTTGTAAAAGTTTATGATGATTCCTTTAGTACTCAATAAAACAAGCTATGCATTTTTTCTTCTTTCCAAACTCTCATAAAACGTCATGGAAGGCAGAAGGGAATCTGGACTTCAGTGAGCAGGGTTCCCCTCCAGCTAGTATCAGAGTTAACTGGGAGCATGTTCCCTACCCCAGCACCCCACAGTAGCGTCATAAAACATCTGAAAGTGCTTACATGTACGCTCACAGTAATAAAATAAAAGGAAATAAATCTTTAAGAGTCAACAACAACCATAGCAACACAGCTGTCCCTCTGCTTTGCAAAATTAGATTCACTGTCAAAGAAAGCCAGTATTCGTAGGCCCACTCCATATTTAACCAGTTCAATTTTCCATAGACTAAAACATTCTCATTTTTGCTTAATTGAAGGATTCAGATAATTACCTGGGAATCTTAAGGTAGAAAACTGAAGACTGTCATACACAGCAAACATTAAAGTGTGCATATTTATGTGTTTAAGGAGTGTATCAAAGCTTTTTTGTGTTGATGTTTTATCACAGTCACTAATACGCTAGTTTTTAAATTTATAACAAGAAAGCTAAGAATTATTCATCAGTCTCACTTTTATCCTAAATTAGTAACATTCAGTACATGCAAGCTGGCTGGTCATCATTTTCATTATGGAATTCTTATATTTCAAGCACTTCAGTATACAAAACAAACAAGTCAAACACTTACGACAAGTCCTGATTTCTTTTTGGCACACAGTAACCCACATATGCCACAGAGGAGAAACTGGAAAAGAAAAGAAGCAAAATTATTCCATCTTCAAACATATGAGGAACTCTAGATTTTAGTTTACTTTAGTTCACTCATGACACTTGCTCCAGGAAACTAACAGGCTTTAAATTGTCGTTAAAAGTTGGAAAGGAAAATATCTCATGGTAGAGAGTAAAATCCAAAAAATGCACCCTCCAGTGAAAATTTACTTCTTGCAAAGTTGATAAAGGTCAATGGGACGTAATAAAATCACAATTAGTTTTTCATCAGGACAAGCTGTGAACTAAGTACATGGAGAGCTTTGCTCCTCCCATTTCCTCTCATTGTCTTCTCCTCCTTTTCTGCCTTTGCAGGGAGAAAAGTGTTGTGCTGCCTTCATGCAGACTAAGCAACTATAACTCAGTAGGTTGGACTATATGTTAGGAATCCTGCACAAATAAAAAGATCGAGCATCAGACAAAGAGATGTTTTTCTATAGAGACTTTATTTGTACCTTTCAAGTTGGTACAATGGCTCCATCGTGCTACCGGTAAGGCTGCACTACAAAACTGTCAGAAGATATGGATGGTGCACAGTTTCCTGGAGGTGAGAACACTAGCGATATAATTGCTTTGCAAAAGCAGCTACGTTAAATCGTCTACCAATGACCAACTATTCGGGTGACAGACATTTTTTTACTATGAAATAGTAAATAATTGAATTTGGATAGAAACATTCAAGGATATTTTTGCACATACTTCTGACTTGAGTTAAATCATGTTAATAAAATGACAAGTTCATTAATAAGTAGTAAGCCTCTAAAGGCTCTAGATTTGCAAAGAAAATTATTTCCATTTGGTTTGTAAAAATACTTTTTCATGTAAAATCAGCACAAAAAATATGTGGCTCTAAGTATTTCACATCTGGGTAGAAAATTTATAAAATACATATCAAGACATTCTAAGTATTATCTTTTAATATGTATGTAAGAAAAACCATTATATTTTGCTGAAAAATAATGATTAAGGGAAGTGGCTATGGCAGAACTTACCCACAAAGAAGAAAAAGGATTATAAAGCAGGCAGTGGTACAGGAACATAGATGAAGATACATAAAAGTACATGTAAATTTGTTATATAATTTAGATGAGTTTTCAAATTAATTGAGAAAGGGTGACAATCATTTATTCAATTAACAAACTTATTGAATTTGTTATCCTCTCACATCATACAGCAAAATAACTATGAAACTGTATAATTGCTTCAGTATATAAAAATTTATAAGTGCATTTTGAAATAACAAAGTTAAATATTTACATAATGGTAGAGGAGTGGAAAGTATTTCTAAATACAGCATTAAAGTCACAGACCAAAACAGAAGATACTTATAAATATTAATGGCAAAAAATTATAATTTTACTAGTCAAAAATGTCCATCTCAAAGACAAAAAATATTGAAATTATATTCAGAAAATATATAACAAGCCAAGTATTAACATACTGTATAAATAGATCTAATACAATATTGATAGAAGTATAAAAACAGGAGATGATAGAAACATAAATAGAACTTTATAAATCTTGAATACTTGTATAATTTTCAGCTTTTCTTGTGATTCTAGGGATTTGACTAAGTCTCATCCTCAACCTTTTTATTTTTTTCTTTGAGACAGGATCTCCCTAAGGCACTAAGTACCCAGGCCAGGCTTAAATTTGTGATACTGCTGCCTTGGCCTCTCAGAGCAGTAGGATACCAGTGTGTGCCACCATGCCTGGCTTAAAAAGCTATTTTTGAGTGACTCCTTTGGCCATTTCTCATCACCTTCTGTGCCCCAGGTTGAGAAGATCGTGTCCTGATGTGTATAGTCTTACTGATTCTGTCTTGTAATCTTCAAGGCTGTGGTCCAAATATTCTAGTTTGACCCAATTCTATACCTCTCCATGCTTGAAACTTCAGATCAATACCCAAGCATGTACTCTTTAAAAGTAACTCTAAGTCAACCTGGAAGTCCATTTACCCAGAGTTCATTCTTAAAATACTTTGGTGGTAATATAGTTGTGTGTTTCTTAGATCTCTTTTGAAATAAATAAATAAGTATCACCATTTTTTATTTACAATTAACCTCAGGGGATATCCAGAGCATGAGCAGAGTTCTCCACCCCAGCCTCATGATTAGAACATGTAAATGTGTTAAAATTGCTATTTCCTGTTGTTGCACTTAACTTGAATAGATCTAAGAAATAGAAATTTAGGGATGAAGAAGGGCAAGTCAGAGTAGGAGGAAAATCAGGCAACACTTTCCCATTCTCCCTCAGACCTGGAGTATAAATACTAACCAATAGCTATTTCTGCCAGGGTATCTAGAATCCATATGACAAAATCCATATTCTTTTTTCTGATTTTTAATAAAAAAATGATGCATAATATATAAGCATATGAAATCATGAAATTTCTGAATAGGATCTAGGAAAACTCAGCTTAACTATGGACGTTTAATTTACAGAGAAGTAAACTGACCAAAATAGTAAACAGATCTTTGATTCTATTGACTGCCTTTATTTACCCCAAGTCATAACGCTGGAAGGGATCTTAAATGATGCTTTCATTTAGCACTCATAGTTTAAACATGGTGACCTGGAAGGCTATAGGTTCAGGCAGGTTTAGTGAATTTCTAAATGTCCCACATGAAGGTCAGCAGTCAAACATATAATTTAAGGTTTTATTAAGTATCTAAGCTAATTTGTTTCCAGTAATATAATAGAAATGTTTTCCAAAAGGATTTTCTAGTAACAGTACAGTGTGCATAACATTAGCAAATCTAACCAGAGGTGTTCAATGAACACATGATGCTCGCCTATAACTTTCCTCGCCATTGTTAATTTTTGAAATAAAAATAATGAGGAAATTTGCCACTGCATTACAATCAAAATTAAATGCAACTAATTTTATAAGGAAATTCGGTATGCTATTTTAAAGTTATGATTCTTTGCTCAGCTTAATATAACTTTATCCAGCATGTAAAGCCCTTACACACATCATGAAAATTATTAAGCAAGTAAAAGACAAATTTCTTTAAGAATGTAAACCTGATGGCTGGTCCTGTGTGTGTGTGTACTCACATAGCCTGAATGAGGTGCATGATTTTATGAAAGAAGTGAAATTTTATTCCTGAGATGATAGGCTATTTAAATCTAGTGAGGGTTGTTTGTTTTGCTGTTACTGCAAAGCAACACCAATATAGCAATCCAAGGATAGGGCATCAAATGATATTTTATGAAATAAAATTAATTAGTCCTTGAAATAGAATACATTTGATTCCAGTTTAGAATAGACTCAATAGATAACTAAAGTTGTGACTCATGGAATAAAATGGAGCTATTACACAAATAAAACTCTACTTTGAGTTGATTTTCTTTATAAAATGTCTGTAGAGATTTCTATTTTTGCTTTAGAGCATAGAAAAATGTAAAGATGTCATTTCCACCCTAACAGTTTACAAAAGCTGGTTAAATTGTAGCATGATCACTTTTTAGAGCCTACTTAAGAACTGAGATTTTTTGGTAATGAAGAAAAACCTTAATTCAAACAGGAGCAAGACTATTCAAGACCTTCCAAAGAGAGTTGGAAGCAAATTGGGATACCTGTTATAGAGTATGAGCCAAAAGAAACACTGGTGATTCTGTGCATGTATGCAAAAATGGACACATGTGCACGTGCGTGTATGGAAAAAAAACTGTGCCTACCTCAGCCTTTCAATTTTAAGAAGCAACAATATTCTGATTCTTCACTTAATCTTAGCCAAAAGACTGAGAAGAGATCAGCCTTCTGATTCTTGGCAAAGGACATGATAACATGGTGGAGAAAAGACCAAATGATTCTGGGAAAAGTGGACACTCAACTGTAGAAGATTGAAACTAGATCCCTGTCTCTAACCCTGAACAAAAATCAGGTCAAAGCGAATCAAGAAATATAAGTTCCAAAACTTTGAAACCAGCAGTGAAAACATGGAGGAAATACTTCAAGATATTGCTATAGGCAATGATTTCTTGAATGGGTCTATGATAGCTCAGAATATAAGAATTTAAAAAGTGGGTTACACCACATTAAAAATGAAAAAAATCTTCTGCACAGAAAAGAAAATAACAGAATGAAGAGACAGTCTACAGAATGGGAGAAAATCCTTGTCAGCCAAATAAGGTTCCAAAACTCAGGAAATAGCAAGGATTGACACATGGGAGTGCGTCAAATTAAAATTTTCTGTACAGGAAAGGAAACAATTAACAGAACAAAGACATACCCTACAGAATGGAAGAAAATCTTTATTAGGTACTCTTCTGATGTAGGATTAATATATACAATATAGAGAGAATTAAAAAAACTTAATATCAAAAATGCTAAATAACCCAATCAATAAATAAGGAAATGGACTGAGCAGACACTTTTCAAAAAAGACATACAAATGAACAATAAGTACATGAAAAGATGTTCAACATCTTTGACCACCAAGGAAATGCAAATCAAAATCACACTGATTGAACAAAAGAGAACAGACAACATAAAACTATTAGAGAAGAGGAGAAGAATGAGGTAGGGGAGTGCTAAGGATGGGGGGTGATGAAGTAGAAATAATCAAAGTGGGTTATATGTGTACAAGTATGTGAAAATTAAATTTGTAATTCAGTATAACTAGTTATCTGAGAAAAGATTAATAACTTGAATATATAAAGAACTAAAAAATTCAGTATCAAAATAACAAGTTCTCCCATTACTAAATGGGCAAATAGGTATACAGACTAAATAGACATTTCAAAAGATGTGGCCCATAATTATATGAAAAAAGGGTTCAACATTTTTAGCCACAAAGAAAATGCAAATCAAAACTATATTGGGACTCTATCTCATCCCAGTTAGAATGGATATTATCAGGAAAACAAATACATCAGATGCTGCTGAGGACACAGAAGGAAACACTGTGTAACCCTCAAACACTCTGCAGCTATAAGTATAACTGTGTAAGAAAGTTTACTTGGGGAAAG